GCCTGCTGCTGTACTCAGTTATTGCGTCATTATTTTCTTTCACCTCGTTTTGGAGCTCCAGAATGTGCTGCTCGTACTTTTTGATGGAAGACTCTTTCTGCCTAGTATGCAGCTGAACATGCAGGCCATTGATGGTTTTACGATGGACTATAATGCTACAATTTGCCTGGTGCAGTTCAGTTTGCTTAGCTTTTAACCGAGTTTCCAGTTGTTTGCACGTGTCTTGCAGGACCGCAGTAGAATTAACAAACTTTTTGATATTTCGTAAATCCCTTTCTGTCCTGTCAGTTATGAAACATTGTGAAAGTCCTGCATGGACATCACACAACGCTGCAATGTCCACAATCTGCCTTTGAATTGATTTGATCACATTTTGTTGCCCTTTCAACTCGGAATTCAACTTTTTTAAGTCACTTTTGTGGCTCATCTGGATCTTTTGCATTTGAGCTTGAAGTGAATGAAAGTTGAGATTCTTCACCTTTATAACGTTCTTAAGGTGACTTATCTCATCCCTCTCGTTATTAACATGGGATTTTATTCTTCTTTTAAGTGGAGAACTGTCTCTTTTGTCCAGGTCACTTGTCTGTTGTTCCGATGTTCCCTCCTTTAATGAGGAAAGTGATGTCCAAAATTCTTCATTTTGTAATTTTAGTGCTTCCAGCTTTTCTTCTGCTGATCTTTTCTCCTTCTCTGCTTTTTCCGTTAGTTTCTGGAGTTCTGCGTTGTCCTGCTCGAACAGCTGCAGTCTCTGCTGGTATTGCGAGCACTTTTCAGTAAGAACCTTGCAACGTTCCTCTGACTCCTCTAACTTTTCAGTTTGACTTTGGTCCGCGTCACTCTGCATTTTATTTGCTCTTTTATTTCTGAGTTGCAGTGCGAATTTTAAAGCATTGTTGTTTGCTTTCAAGGTTTTGTTTGTTGACTCCAACTCTGAGTTCTTCTTTTCTGTCTCACTGAAAGAGCTCTGTAACTGCTCCATCAAACATTCCAAATTTTCATTTTGAAGTTTGATTTGCTCCATGTCCTGTAAAGTGCCTGTTAGCCATGCTTGGGAGAACTTCAGCTGCTTTTTCATCTCACGGCACTTTTGATTGGCCTTTCCCTGCTGGTAGCA